TTTCTTTGTAGTTTGTAGTATATGCAAAATAAAGAATATCCCTACAGGGATTTTTTAAAAAAGAAGAAGTTAACTTGCTCTGTTATTATTCCGTTAAATCATTTCACTTTGGTGAAACACACAGTCTAGTTGCAGGTACTGGCAGTTTAAAAAAATGGTGGAAGCACTTTGGAAATCCAATAAGCTAAAACTCAGTCACACACAGTTGTAGTGGTTGAATTCCTCTGTTTCAATTAACAGAACATTTTTCTTGAGGAAAAATATGTTGTCATGAGCAAATTTTATGGACCACAAAAACTACTTCTTGCGTTTTAAAATGTGAAAGTCAAAATATTATGAAATGGCCTTAAGTTCTTTATTATTTATTTATTATTTGAATTTATAAACCGCTCACCCCCTGTGTACCCAGGTCTCAGAGGGTACACATCAAAAGACAAAAACATTAATATAAAACAATACATAAATAGTAATAAATACCTAAAACAATCTCAGATGGCACATTATTTCAATTATTGCTACTACCTTGTAGGGAAGGTAGGGAAGAAGCAGGAAATGGGGAGGGAAGGAAAAGAGAGTACCAGAAAGATGGTACCCATCACTGTCCTCAATTAAAAGCCTGGCAGAACATCTCTGTCTTGCAAGCCCTGTGGAATTGCATTAGGTCCCACAAGGCACAGATGTTATTTGGCAGAGAGTTCCACCAGGTAGGAAACAGGGCAGAAAATGCCCTAGCTCTGGCTGAGGACAGCCGGATGTCTTTCGGGCTGGGGATCACCAGTAGATTGTTCTCTGCAGAGCTTAATGCTCTCTGGGGGACATACCAGAGCTGACACAGCACAGGTTAAACATACACAGTCTGTGATGTTGCAGTCAGGACCTGTGCTGCCACATTCTGGACTAGCTGGAGCTTCCGGGTCAGTCTCAAGGATAGGCCAGCATAGAGTGAGTTACAGTAGTCCAATCTGGAGGTGACCTGCATGGATTACTGTGCCTAGGTCGGGGTGAGACAGGAAGGGGGCCAGTTGCCTCACCTGGCGTAGATGGAAAACTGTCAACTTGGCAAAATTTGTGATCTGGGCCTCCATTGATACGGAGGCATCCAGAACCACACCCACACTGTCAAGTTAAGGCATACTGTCAAGAATAGGGAGTTGGCACCCAAACTCTGAATCCCCCTACCCAGCCACAGAACCTCTGATTCAGGCTTTTTTTCAGCCATCCCACCATGGCCTCCAACCCATCAGCCAGATTTTGAGGGGCGGTATCCAGGCAGTCACCCATCAGGAGATACAGCTGGGTGCCATCAGCATACTGGTGACACCCTAGCCCAAAACTCAGCACCAGCTGGGTGAGGGGGCACATATAGATGTTAAACAACATCAGAGAAAGGACTGCCAGTTTGGTGTAGTGGTTAAGTGTTTGGACTCTAATCTGGGAGAACCGGGTTTGAGTCCCCACTCCTCCACCTGCAGCTGCTGGATGACTTTGGGCAAGCCATAGTTCTGGCACAGCTGTTCTTGAAAGAGCAGTTCTCAAAAGAGCTCTCTCAGCCCCACCTACCTTACAGGGTGTCTGTTGTGGGGAGGGGAAGGGAAAGGAGTTTGTAAGCCACTCTGAGAAGATGGGATATAAATTCAATCTCTTCTTCTCGTCTTGTTCTGCCCCCTGAGGGACCCCACATATTAAGGGATATCTAGTTGACACTCTCTCTCCTAATGCTTACCTTGACCTTTGAGAAATGAGGTAAGCCACTTCAAGACTACCCCATAAACTTCTACATCAGTGAGGCGGTGGGTCAAAAGGTCATGATCAACCATGTCAAATGCTGGTGTAAGATCAAGCAATAACAGAGGCACTGACCCAGCTCAGTCCAGCTGTCTGCAGAGGTCGTCCATGAGGGTGATCAGTGCCGTCTCCATCCTATGGCTAAGGCAAAAGCTGGACTGGAATGGGTCAAGTGCAGATGCTTCACTACCACTCTCTGAATTACCTTCCCAGCAATGATAAATTGAAGACTTGGTGACAACTGGAAGGATCTAAAGGATCCAAAGAGAGCTTCTTCAAGAGTAGTACCACCACTGCCTCTTTTAACCCCTCCAGGTAGACCCCTGAATCCAGGGACAGGTTGATGATGTCTACCGGGGCGGGGGGCATATTCCCTTGCCACCAGCTTTCACCACCCATGAGGGACACAGGTCTAAGAGGCATGTGGTTGGCCTAACAGCACCCAAGATCCTGTTGACATCAGCCCACGTGAGCTGGCTGAAGCTGTCGAACACTGAATCCAAAGATGGCCAAGTGGCCTCCAGTTCGCTATACTGTATCAACATTGGCTGGGAGGTCGTGTCAAAGCAACAAAACTTTAACTGCAAAAAAGCCCACAAAAGCCTCATAGCTAATGATTAAATTAGTAAATTTTGGGGTCTCTCCATAAGAGAAGCTAAGGACCTAATTACCCTAAACAATTATGCTGGGTGAGAGCTCTCAGAAGTGATGGAGGTTGAATAAAATTCCTTTTCTGCAGCCTTCACCACCACCTCATAGAATTTCATAGGCGTTCTATAAGACGTTTCTGTAGCTTCATCACAAGTGCGCTGCCAAACTCACTCTAGTTGTCTTAGTTCCTGCTTCACCCCCTAAGTTCCATAGGATACTGAGGGGGGATTACAAAAGCATTGGAAAAAACCTCCAGCTATAATATAAGCTAAACGTCTGCAAATGTCTTAAATTTTTATCATAACTTTTTCACACTTGCAGATTTCTACTACTACATCCTGAAGAGACACACACCAACAATGTGAACACCATAAACCTGTATATGATCCTCCCACTATTTTACCACCAAAGCTTCCTACAAACTACAAGATTAGAGAGTTTTTTAAAATATATACCCATCCGCCTGCAAATCAGAAACTCAACAAAATGACAGAATTTAATGAATTGTCAGTATAAAAGTAAAGACTTATTCTGGGGTCCTTTATATGAAAGAACATCTGAATAAGAATAAAAGGATGCAATTTGTACAACAAAAAACAAAAACAAAAAACTGAAAAGCGAAGCTTTGCACAGAACACTGAATTTAGGCTAGCAGTTAGTCAATTTAAATTGAATTACAACAAGGCAAGCTATGAAACAACTATTTAGCACCTTTAGTATGTCTACAATACTTTGCATATTGTATCTCCCTAATCGCCTTGGCGTTAAGTCATGCCGGCCACATGACCATGGAATTGTCTTCGGACAGCACTGGCTCTTCAGCTTGGAAACGAAGATGAGCACCGCAACCATAGAGTCGGATTCGACCGGCTTTACTACCTTTAATCTAAGGTAGTTCAGCACGGCTATCTCTGCCATCTCTACTAAGCGTTAAGATGCATGCACAAATAAAACAACAACTTGCGGTTTTCTCGCAGATTTTCAGTTCAGCGAATCTTAGTAAGCGGGACTTACTTCTGAGTAGACATGCCTAGGCTTAGTCTACTAGCGTCGCATAACACCGGGCCTCCTTCCGCAAGTGGCAGCACCAAGAAGTCACCACTTGTGAACAGAACAGGGCCTGCCAGCCAAGTTTCCTCCCCTCCGACTCAGCGCTCCACCCAAACTTCCCCTTGTCGGCTTCTGACAATTCAGCGTCTCAGCTGGGAACTTCATCATAACCAGACGCAGAGCCAGCTTGTCGCTGGGCGAACGCGACATCGGGGCCACGGCTCACTTTCCTCTCTTGGACCCC